GTATCACAGCTAAAACCAAATGAGCTGTAGGTACACGAACGAGAGGAACAGTTTAAAGAGTTTCACAAGATATCATTTTAATAGCAAAAGCACCAATAAGAATTTCAATAAGTCAATTTCAACACTTTTACACTCTGTCAGTATCTGTGAGTGAGCAGCAGCAACAACCTTAATCTGATTTCAGTCAGAAACATCAACAATAGGACGCCAGGTAGTTCAAACTGATGATCGCGAAGGAGGCAGAGCAAGCAGAGTTGGCAAAAGTTCAGACATTCTGTACTTAAGTACAAATACAAAAACTACTGTAAAAAATATTCCAGCAAAAGTTGAAGTACTGGTTCAAGTTCCTTACTCAAGTATAAGTAGAAAGGTGCAGGCTCTGAAATGTACTCAAAGTAAGAAAGTAGAAATTAGCTCTATTTTCAGTCACCTACATTGTAGAGGGCGACTTTGCCTGTAAACAGTAAAATGTGCACAGTCAGAGGTTAAAGTGGGTTCAGTAGGTGGAGAAACTCTAAAATTGGTTGTAGTGACTGAGTGTGGGGCATAAAATCATAAGTCAATATAATTTCTATTGAGAGCTCCAGTAGATTTTCTTGGGAACATTTGCTGCTTATCTACATAAAAATATCCAGAGATGAACATCAGAGTCCTTTTATTCATATAAGATTCACAACAGAGGTGGAGAGGACAACATTAGTGAGACCTAAAGAGAAGCACCACAGCTCTGATTCAGAACTGATACTCTGTGGTGACATCAGAAATGACATCATAATGCTCATCCTCCAGTCCCTGCTCAGCCTGAGTGGGCAGGATCGAGACACGGAAGATTTTTCCTGTAAAAATGTATGAAGTGTTTCAGCCATTAATTTATAGAGATTTCAGCATATTGATTAATCAATGAATGATTCAGTGTTACCTTTAGCTCTCTTTCGATACAAAGACACCATGAGGAGAGTGGAGATGACGTATGGACAGAACACCACCAGGTGGAAGAGCAGTCTAATCACAAAGTGGAGTAAGGACGAGTCAGGGGGCAGAGGTGTGGTTGTATGTTTTTCTGCAGAGAGAATATTTGGTTATTTCAACCACATGTGAATATATAAATGAAAAAAGAGGTAACATAAGAGTGACGCTCCTCACCTGTGACAGTGATCCAGCTGGATGGAGACTCTCCATGGCCGCTGATGTCACACTTGTAGAGGCCTTCATCAGACCTGGAAACATGCTGGATGGTCATGTGACCTGTAGGCCTATTCCCAATGAAGACGCCATCTTTATAGAAAGCAGCTGGGAGGTTGGAGGGAGTGGTCT